AAGAACATCTTCTTCGTTGCCGCCATTGCAGAGCCCGGCTGAGCTCCTTCAAGAAGGACTCAAGGAGGTTGTTGCACCGAGGAAATACGATGGATCCGCTGCCGAGTGGGGGCTGCACCAAGGGGAGACCGTCTGAGACGCCCAAGCCCCCAGGCCCTTTTGCATGCAATTGCGAGCTCGATGAGCTTCCACAACGTTCACTTCACTGCCCCTCTCCTGGCAAGATGCTGTGGTCACTGCGTTCACCTCACTGCCAGATGACACACATTCGCCATTGCACCGCTCGCTTCAATCCCATCGATAACGTAAGTCAGACAGGGGGGGCGCCCTTCGTTGTCTGTCAGGTCAGGGAGTGCAGCATCGTGGATGGGAAGACCCTCCATGTGTGTGTGTCTGTGTGTGTGTGTGTGTGTGAGTGTACGTGAGCCTGTAACCAACAGGCTGAAGGGCTCACGCGTCACTCGAGTGCCTTCAAGTGACGTGACATACGTTAACTCATAGCGCAACGTTAACGGCAGGCAGAGTCTGTCGGTCTCTCATGAAACGAACTGCGTCAACATCGACCAACCCTCAATCATGCGACAAACATGCCAGCACCATCCTCAGCGCCCGCCTGGCGTATCTTCCAGCGGCGCCGCCCACCACGCACACACATATGAGTGCCTTCAAGTCGATGAACCACCCCCTCCCTCCCTGCCGTCTGTGCGTGTCTCTTTCTCTCTCTCTTCTGTCTCTCAGCCACCCAGCCAGCCAGCCAGCCAGCCATCCACACACGCACACAAACGTATGCACATCTCTGTTTCCGTCCGTGTGCTGGTCAGAAGACGCTCTCCTCACCACGCAACATCGTCACCCTCGTCTTCGTCTTCGCTGTCGCTCCCCTCGCTCCATAAGAGCGAACCGTCCGTGTCAGACTCCGCACTATCCGGCGTCCACTCATCTGAGTCGTCTGATGTCTCCAGTTCGTCTGATGTCTCCAATTCATCTTCGGTCTCTGGCGGCAGAGGCTGCAGCTCCGGCTGGTCGGCCCCCTCTAGGGGCACCTCCCCTCCCACAGCGTCAAGAAGAGTGCGCAGCCTGGCCATGGCTTGGCGCTCCTTTCCCACCTGCCTCGCTTTGTCGCGCTGTCGCTGCGTCCTGCGCTGCATCATTTTATCCTGCCTCCCGGTGTCCCTGGCTTCACGCGCCTCGCGCACGGCTTGGATCCTCGCCCGGCGGCTCTTCTCTCTCACTCGCTCTTCCTCTCTGTCATCCTCTCTTTGTACTTCGCTGAGCTCCTCCCCTAGAGGGGCGCTGAGCTCCTCCCCTAGAGGGGCGCAGCAGTAGCACTGGCCCAATGGAGAGAGAGGCGAAAGAGAGAGAGACATGCGCACGAGGGGACTGTCTTTGGTCAGGCAGAGTGCTCACCTGGCTGAAGAGCCGCATGGACAAGTCGTGTTTCCGCTGCTCGAAGAGTTCGTCGTCGGGCTCAGGAGACATGCCTATAGACTCTTTAAACGAGTCCCACACATTGTGCTTCTCCTCCTTTGACTCTTTGAGCAACTTGTCGAGAGCCTCAGATCTGATATAAGGCAACGACTGGCGTGTGTCGTGTGTGTGGTCTTCTCTCCGTGTAGCCTAGCCGGGAGGGAGGGAGGCACTGTGAGCCTGCACGCCTACGTGCACGCGATGTGTTTCCGCGGCTTGCGGAGGAAGACGTTGTCCATGTCCACCGCCATGCACTGCCACGGCGCGTGACATTGGTTGTGCCACTGCTTGGCCGGTCCCCATGTGCATTTTCTTGCTGCGCACAGGCACACACATCAATCAATGGACTGACTGTCATGGTGGGCCCTCGAGTGGCTGAGGGAGGGAGGGAGGCATGCAGAGCTCACAGATTCCGAGTTTGCAATCGAAGTCTGCAGTGAACATACAGGCAAAGCGGCACAGGCAGGCAGGCAGGCAGAGACAGGCGTGCAGCCTAAGCTTGCCTCCATTCCATCGTGTGTGCGTGGTCTGCTCTGCTTACTGACCCGGTTGTGTGTCTGACAGAGTGTCGTTAAGGCGATTGTTGACAGTGTAAGCCCCTTGCTTGGATTGAGCGGCAGACAGAGACAGCGACGCGCCTGTACTCACTCACTCACACATCCAGCAAAGGGTGATTCAACAAATCTGTTACATAGCCCGGGGATGTGGGTGGGCAGGGCTTCCCCCGCTTCATTCTCACCACCGAGAAGGCGCAGCACGACTAAGAACATCTTCTTCGTTGCTGCCATTGCAGAGCCCGGCAGAGCTGAGCCTCCCTCAAGAAGGACTCAAGGAGGTTGTTGCACCGAGGAAACACGATGGATCCGCTGCGAGGTGGCGGCCCCGGGAAGGGGAGACCGTCTGAGACGCCCAGGCCCCCAGGCCCTCGCATGTAATTGCGAGCTAAGAAAGAGCTAAGAAAAACTTCAGTTCTGAGCTTCGACGACGTCCACTTCACTGCCGCTCTCCTGACAAGATGCTGTGGTCCCTTGGTCGATATATCAGCTCAACGAGTGGTGCTGGGGTGAGGTGAGTGAGGACTGAGTGATGTCGTCGGCATATCGGCAGGGCAGCACCCAGGACATCTCGCAGGCCCGCATCCTGAGCGTCCAGTCCCACGTGGTCAACGGCTACGTGGGCAATAAGGCCGCCATCTTCCCTCTGCAACTGCTCGGCAACGACGTCGACTTCATCAACAGCGTCCAGTTCGTCTCCCAGTTCGTCCACCAGGGCCAGAAACTCAGCGGCGAGGAGCTGAGGACGCTCCTCGACGGACTGCAGAAACACAACCTCGGCAACTACCAGTACTTCCTCACCGGCTTCATCGGCCAGCCGTCCTTTCTAAGGGAGGTGCTGGCCTTCATCAAGTCGCAGAAGGCCAACCCTCCCCTCTCCCTCTCCCCCTCCCCCTCTGCCCCCATATGGCTGTGCGACCCTGTGCTGGGCGACAACGGCAAGCTCTACACGGACGAGGCGCTCATCGACATTTACCGGACCGAGGTGCTGCCCGCGACCGACATCATCACGCCCAACCAGTGGGAACTCAGGTGGCTCACCGGGCTGCCTGCCGACACACTCGACGACCTCATCAACTGCTTCCAGCACCTGCACGTCAACGGCCCGCGCATCATCGTCGCCACGAGCGCCGCCATCACCACGCCCCAGTGCGAGGGCGACCAGGGGGGCGGCATGGTGCCCTCGTCGCTCTATCTGGTCGCCTCCGAGTACCGGGGCGCTGGCGACGATGCGGCGCTCGAGCACGGCGCTGACGGGCGGAGGCGTGTGAGGCGAGGCGACATGGAGTGCTGGTCGCTCAAGTTCCCCAACCTCGACTTGGCCTACTACGGTCAGGGTGACCTCACGGCCGCCCTGCTGCTTGCCAACTATCACAAGTACAGGCGCAACCTCGCAAGGACCATCGAGGTCACCCTGGCGGCCGTGCAGGTCAGCCAGAGCAGGAGTGGACGACGGCGGGACGGGGATAGAATATGGTGTGCGGCGCTCTCTCTGTCTCTCTCTCTGTGTGTGTGTGTGTGTGTGTGTGCAGGGTGTGATAGAGCGGACTCTGAGGCTGGGTGACGATCGCGTGAATCTGGACATAACGGGTAGCCAGGCGGAGATCCTCAACCCGACCGTCGTACACAAGGCCGAGAGGATACCCACCTGAAAACGACAGACATGATGTGATGGATGTGACCTTTCTGAAGAGACAGACGGTCTTGCTGCTGTCCGAAGGCCATTGGGGGGAGGAGGGCTTTTGAATCAATGACAGAGAGATGAGACGGACGGGAGGAAATGTATTGTTGTCATTGACGGGGATGGTATTGGGGGAGAGGAGAGTGGGGTTTTGCGAGTGCGCTTGATTTGCGTGTGTAGATTGAAACCAGTCGACCGACTGGACTGACTCAATCAATGTCCGTGTGTGATGCTGGTGCCTTCCGGATCTCGATGCTCTGTGCTTTGTCCGTGTGTCGCAACCAGCATCACATGTGCTCGACCACAGAGTGCGTGTGGTTCAGGCTGCGGCGCAGGGGTCAAGTACAGAGCCGAGAGTCTAGTTGATGCTGACGAGTACTTGTTTGCCTAATGCTGTGGTGGGGTGCGGGGCGGTCTGGCGTCCGTGCCCAGCTGTGCCTCTCCTCGGCTGGCAGAGAGACACTGCAACTGTCGACATGAAGACTCGTGGATGGACCGTGCTTTATATAGACGACAGATTTGGGTAGGGTGGTGCCAACTGACCACTGCATTGCATAGCTAAGATACAGAAGACTGACTGACATCATGAAAGGAAGAGTCTCACAAATGTCACACGTCAGCATCAGCCAGCCACTCAGAAGATATGCCTGGCTACATACATGAGAGGCGCCGCGCCCTGTATCAACTCCTTCCCTCCCTCCCTCCCTACTCACCCTCTCGACCATGAGCATGTGTGCATGGCTCGATGCACCACCAACACATCGCGCGATGCGATTGTCACGCCCATGCAGACGTACTCAACCAACCGACCGACCGACCGACCGTTGTTCACACCCTTCGGTTGCATCGCACCGCATCCATCACGTCAGTCACTTCTCTCTCTCGATCCCAGCCAGCCATACTCACTCAGTCGGGTCTTCTCGCCTTGGTGGAGCAGTCAAGGAGCTTCGAAAGCTTGCGGCTCAGAGGTTTCTTGAAGTCATACTCCACAGACGAGAAGGTCTTCTGCGCCCGCTCCAGCCACTGTTCCGACTTCTGCCAGTGAGGCCAGCCCTCCTTGTAGTCACACGCCTGCCATGGTTCAACCAGCCCATGGGGGTGGTGTGGGTGTGTTGTTGGAGGGGGGTGGGGGCGTACTGACTGTACTTTGTATCTTTCGAAGTGAGCGTCTGCGAGGTGGTAGCAGGCAAAGGGGAAGAGGTAGAGCTCCCGCTTGACGCTCGACTGAAGAGGCAGCAGCTCACGCTCCCACAGATCCTATATTCGAGTGACACACAAACACGTATGTGCGGTGCGCCGATGTCCATCTCTCTCTCTCTCTCTGTTGTATGTGTGTTGCATATATATGTGTGTCAGAAGATACCTCCAGCGCGTCTGCGTCTGTGTGGTTGCGCAGCTTGATGAGCTTGCCGCGCAAAAACACCACATACGCCTGCACGTCCACACACACACACACAGACACACATGCCTCCTTCCTTGACTCACTTGTGTGTGCCCATCCATCCGCCGACCTGCATGTCAGAGTCCTGTTGTGCGTCGACTTTGGCGGCGGCCTCATCCAGCAATCGCTGGGCGTTGTCGAAGTCGCGACACCTGGAGAGGTTATAGGCCTGGAAACACAGAGACTCCACCTCGGAGAACCCTCCTGCTCCGTGGGCAGTGCAACATACACGGAGAGACAAGGAAGCATTGCAATCGTTGCGTGCACATCGCGGCGTGGCGTAGTGTGGGCTGGCAGGGCAGGCTGACCGCTGAGGTACTCGTCGGCCTTCCTGGCGGCGAACTGGTCGTATGAGTAGTGCGGCCTCTGCCAGGGCTTGACTTTGCGCATCAAGTCGGCGCACTTGTCTGTGTTGCCAAGCATGTGGTGGCAGAAGGCGAGCTGCATGGCGCACCAGGCCCTGTAGGTGGTGGACTTGTGCCTCTCCAAGAACCACTCGAACAACTGACACAGACAGACAGACAGACGAGACACAAACCGATCGTCAACCGATCTGTCTGTCTGTCTGTCTGTCAGTCTGTGTGTCTGTCTGTCTGTCTGTGTGTCTGTCTGTCTGTCTGTCTGTGTCTCCGTGTGTCTGTCTGTGTGCGTGTGAGCTCGGTCACCTCAGCGGCTTCCTTCCAGTCGTTGAAAAGGAAGACGCACCAGCCCTCCTCGTACGCCCCAATGACCTGCAGCGGCTCCAGCTCCCCGCTGGCCTCGCGCATCCCGCGGAACATCTCACGCGCGTCGCGAACTCGCCCATTCACACGCAGGCAGTACCCCGCCAGAAAGGCCAAAAGGGGGCTTAGCTTCAGATGCTCGTGTGCCTGTGCGTGTGCCTTCCCCCACGCCCAGCCTTTCTGGAGAGAGGCGAGGAGGCCTTTGGTCTCGTCGAAGTCCTCGTAGAAGAGCCCGTTGATCCACAGGAGCAGGCTTGCAGACCAGGCAGCCCTGCCGACACCGCACTCTGCACACCACACATGGATGGATGGAAGGTCATGTATCAGGGTGAGTGTCTGTGTGCGTGTGGCTGACTCATGGAAGTGTGCAGCTGTTGGAGGCCCTTCTCTCTGTCGGGGGTGAAGCCCAGGCCCTGAGCTATCCACGTGAAGCCCTGCACACAGGCAGGCAGGCAGGCAGGCGTCATATATGTGTGTGTGGGCCTGACAGGCTGACCGATGGGACGAGTGAGACGAAGAACTTGAACGCGCCCGCACCGAAGAGCGTCGACGCCTTCAGTGTCGCATCCACAGGCAGCCCCTCAGCCTACACACACACGCATGGAGGGAGATCTGTCCCATCCTTCCTTCTCTCCACATATAGATCTTCTGACCTCATCTTGTTGGATCCTGGCCTCCAGTTTCTCGTAGAGCTTCCATGCTCGCCGGAGGTTGATGGCCCCGACCGTGAAGTTGCTGATGCTCCCACTCTTGAACTGAAGCAACGCCTGCACACATGACCATGACACGAATGACATCGCACACACACACACACACGTCGATGTGTCACAGTGTACATGGCAAGTGAGCCCCCACCGCAGCCACCTGCCACATGAAGGCCTCCGCCAGCACCACACACCCCTCCAGGCCGTAATGCGCCAGCGCGTTTGGAGCCTCGGCGAGGTCCCCCGTCTTGCTCAGCCTCTCCTGCACGAACCCACACACACTGATGGCCACCCACCTCAATCCAGGGCACCGCGCCCACCTAACCTTCAGCCACACCTTGGCTCGACACATGGCGTTCACCATGGCCCGCTTGGGGCCGCGGCGAGCACGTGTGCAGTTACACCTGCTCTCGACCAACCAAACCAACACACGCATACATGCAGGATGCCTTCCTCCCTCCCTCCCTGCTGCTGGTGTGCCGACATACCTACCGTGCCTTAGCGACGAGGCGGACCTTCTCGATGTCGTGCATGAACCCCCTGGCGCCGCCAGCCTCATCTTGCAGCACTGCGCGCAAAAATCCTGCAGACCGACCGACAGACAGACAGACAGACATACAGACAGACAGACAGATGTGTCGGTGCGTTGGGTCTGGTGCTGTGTTTGATGTTCGCCCATCGACCCACCCCAGCCAACCACATACCTGTTTCGACTTTCAGCAGATACAGCATGAGGTCGTCGGGGTGCCTGCCCGTCTCCTTATGCACTTCGGCATACCGACAGTCGAACAGCTTCCGATGCACATCATCTGCAGGCAAGTGAGTGACACAGATGCGATCGAGGCATCCAAACGCGCCGCACCGCGCCCACAATGCATTGCACACGTGTGCGTGCGTGTATATGTGTGTGTACCTTTGAAGACGAGATGGTACTTGGCAACGGCGTTGTCGATGGTGCCCCGCCGCCTCCTTTGCCGCTCCTCCATCTCAGTCGTCACGTCCACCCCAGACGCAGACGAGATGAAGATTCGCGGACAGACTGACCCACCACCGCCCCCATCTTGCGGCAGCTGACCTCTGACGCCATCCATTGGCTCCAAGGACACACTGCATAACATCACCACCAGCATGAGAGAGATAAACTGTTTGACTTTGACTGGCTGACCTTTCGATGCCCAATGGTGGTGCGTCGTCGACGGCATCGTCCGGCGTAGACGGATGCTCTGTGGGGGGAGGGGAGGAGGCAGGGGAGCCTGCAGGACACAGACAATCTCACACACAATCACACAGCTATGGATTGGATTGGATGCATCCACACATTCGTCCATTCCTATCCCCCAGGCAGACAGACACCCATCTCACCCACCTTGTGTGGCGACGTTGGATCTTGGCCCACCACCCACCGATGGCTGCTTGAGGGGTGACCACCCCTCCCCCTCACTAGGCACCATCGGTGACGCTGGCTCGCTCTTGTTGCCATGAGGCGTCATCTGATTCATCCCATCGCTCACGCCCTCGCCCTCACCCCCACCCCCGCCTTCCGACTGGGTCGCATACGACGCCCGGCCGCCTGCCTCCGAGCAGCTGACGATGCTTGCCGCTTCTGGGGGGATGGTGCTGGAGGCCTCTGCATGCCGGCCTGTACCTGAAGCGCCGAGGTCGCTCTGTGCGCCGTCGGCGGCGTCGAGGATCTGTTGCCGCCCGCAGCAGATTGGCATCGGCTGGTGGCGGGGATCTGTAAGATGGAAACCTTCTCACGTCGCTCGCCTAGGGAGATCAGACGTGAATGGCATTCTAAGCTCGCAAGAGGCGCAAGGGGGGGGCAGACCGATCTGAAAACCTTTGACCTCAAAGGAGCTGACTTGTCCGCTTCTGTTTTTACGCGTCATGACAGCATCAGGCTCCGCCCTCCTGTGTACCCAAACATCAGCAGCACGCCGAAGCCGCCTGCCCTTCCACTGCCCCCAAGCCATCTGAGCGTCGAGGCGCTCTTCGACCACACACAGCCCGATTCCAGCTCTGCAAGCAGCATGATCCCATCTCGCAGCCCAACGCACGACTACCACCATCCACACACCACACAGGAGGCCTCCTACCAGCGGATTGGCTCAGGCTTGCCGCATCAGGTGCCGAATGCGACCCCTCCGTCACTCATGCGGCCGGCTGCTCAGAGGGCGGCCACGACGCAGATGGCGGGGGGCCCGCCGCGATTTGGGCGGGAGAACACGAGGGGGAAGGAGGGGAAGAAAGAGGCTGACAACAAAAAGCCGACGGGGAAGCAAACAGGGCCTCCGACGCCGCCCAGCAAGCCGTGAGACAGAGGGAAATGTAGGCACATACATGCACTCACTCGTGTGGTGCTCTTGTCTCCCTTTCACCTACCTTGATTGCAGTCGTGACGTGACCCCCCCACGTCAGCATCCGTCCGCCGCCCCTCCGGCAGGCACCCCCATCCCATCCTTTGCCAACAACAGCGCCAAGCCACCAGCTGGCAATACTCATGCCAAGGCGTCGAGACCGGCAAAGCACTTCCTCCCCGACCCCCTCCAGTCGCCAGTTGACGAGGGAGACGACATTGATCTGCCTGTGGCTGGGCTGCCATCGCCGAAGACCACCAGACAGCGGCTGACGAACCTCATCAACGACATGGAAAGCCTCAAGAAAAACGCTAGAATGGTGGCAGGGAGAGAGGAGGGGTGCAAAGGTGGAGGGTGGACATGCATGGGTATATGTGTGTGGGTGTGTGGGGTGGTCAGGCGATTGAGCGATTTGCGTCCGGGAAGAAGATGCGTGTGGACGCCTTACCTGCCGATCACCAGCTGTCGTATGACGACATATACGACATGGTCATGTGGCTGCTCGAGAAGAACGAAATCGGTCTTCCCGTGCCTATGAAAGGTGACTGACTGGACACACACACACACACACATCCATTCATCTCCGGGTGTATCGTTGGTGCACACACTTATAGATGCGATTGAGCGTGTGTGTTGGAAGTATGATGTGGATGCGCGGCGGGAGGCGCCGCTGGAGGCCTTCCAGGACATCTGGCGGTTCACCCTCTGCCACATCAGAGACACACACTTCCCACTCAAAATGAAGTCAGCGGACATTTCTTCCAACCTCTCACTATGTCAATGAATGCTGTATGTCTGTGTGTCTGTCTCTTTGCCCCTCCCTCCCTCTCTGTTTGTGCGCGTGAAGGTTCAAGCGTGAGGTGTTTGTGGGGCAGGCTAAGTACGGCAACCTTGAGCAGGTCTACAAAAGGGAAGAGAAACTCGGACAAGGACAGGTGAGCCAACTCACCCAACAAAGAGAGAGGAGAAAGAAAGGCCGCACCCACCGCCCCTTCCCTCGCATGTGTGTGCCTGTAGTTCGGTCTGGTGTTCAAAGTCCGGGACCGCGTCAGCGGCCACCTTCGTTGCTGCAAGTCGATCGCCAAGTCGAGGGTGCTGCCCTCGGTGTCCGTCGAGCAGGTGGCCACGGAGATCACCATCCTGCGGCAGCTCGACCACCCCAACATCGTGCGCCTCAACGAGTGCTTCGAGGACCAGAACCACCTGTACCTCATTTTCGAGCTGATTGAGGGATACGACCTTCTGCAAGTGAGTGTGGTGCATTCTTCCCGTTTCTCTCTTCCTTCTGATGCCCCTTTTGGTCTACAGGTGCTGCTGAAGATGTCCCGGGAGGGCAAGTCGTTTTCGGAGCGGAAGGCGCGCCGCCTGATGCGGTCCGTCATGAGCGCTCTCGCCCACTGCCACTCGAGACGTGTGATGCACAAGGACCTCGCACCCAACAATATCATGATACTCAAAGACACCAACAGCAACAGCAGCGGCGGAGACACCAGCAGCAGCAGCAGCAGCAGTGAGGGCAAGGAGAAGGGCGAAGAGCGGTCATCTGGGAAGGGCAAGAAGGACGAGAAGAGGGGGCTGCCGACGCTCGAGCAGCTCAAGGACTTCAAGGAAAGTGAGTGCATTAGTGGGTGGGAGGAGTGTATGGCTTGGAAGGGGCCTTTTCTCTGTGTGTCGTGTGACCGCTCCGTTCCTGTGCAGGCAACATCAAGGTGATAGATTTTGGCCTTTCTGAGATGTTCATCCCCGGCCAAATGTCTACCATGGAGGCTGGCACGCCTTACTACATGGCGCCAGAGGTCCCACACCTTCCCACTCCACAGACAGAGACACCACACGCACACACATGTCCGTCTCTCCATCTGTCCGTCAGGTGTTCCGTCGTCACTTCAACTACAAGTGCGACGTCTGGAGTGGGGGCATCCTCCTCTACCTCCTCCTCACCGGCCACCTGCCCTTCGACGCCCCCTCAAAGGAGGAGTTCATCCGCCTCGTCGCATCCTCAGCGCCCCCCTTCCCCGACTCCCTCTTCGGCCACATCTCCGACCAGGCCGTCCAGCTGCTGTCCTCCATGCTCGACAAGGACGTCAACAGGCGGCCAACCGCCTCACAGGTGCTGTCTCACCCTTGGTTTGCGCTGAGCGGGACGTCGCAGGACCCGGTGCTGCAGCATGAGGGGCGGCGGATGAGCAGGGTGGGGGTTGGAACGGACGAGCGGTCGAGCTCGCTGATGCTCTACTCGGGCAACCCTCTGAGACACGTCACGCAGAGAGGATCCGCGTTTGTCAGATTCGCTGAGGTCGGCAAGCCCCCATTGAATTCCCTGTGTCCCTGCTCACAATACATATGTCTCCCTCTCTCAGGCGTCAGCATTGAAGCGCATCTGCCTCAATCTCGTAGCGATGCACCTGGGTTTCGACGCCGTCAACCGCGCCCCACAGGTGTTCACGGCCCTCGACACCGACCACGACGGCCTCCTCTCGTCAGCGGAGTTCGGCAAGGGCCTGCGGTCGATCGGCGTGCCCGACGACATGATATCCAAGATAGTGGAGGCGGTCGACCACGAGGGCCGCGGCCACGTGGGCTACACAGGATTCATCGCCGCGCTGCTGAGCGTGGGAGACGAGGAGGTCGAACGCAACATGTGGAACGCATTCAGACAGGTCAGTGAGACACCATGACATACACAGGGGAGGGAGAGACACGTGTTTCCCGTCTGTGTGTGTGTCAGTTTGATGTCGACAACGATGGCGTGATCAGCCGGACTGACCTGCAGACGCTAATGAGACGGGGCGGCCTCAATCTGGAGGGCATCGCGGCGCCCGGCGGCCGACGGGCGTCTGTCAATGCCGACCAGATCCTGAACGAGCTCGACACTGACAAGGACGGCAAAATCACGTTTGAGGATTTCTGTGCCTTCCTGAGAACATGATCGATCACATGGATGTCTGCTCGCTTCATGTGTTTGTGGATAGGGAGGTGGCTGCATGGATGGATGGACGTATGCGATGGATGGATGGATCCGTGTCGACTCGACGCTGTTTGTTGCTCCCTGCACCGCACCCAGGATTGTCTTTGCGGAAGGCATTCACCGTGCAGTGAATAGCCTGCGTCTCATGCGCATACACACGGACGGATCGACAGAAATATGCTCACATCTCGCTAACCAGTCTCCAACCAACAAACTAACCAACAGGCACAGCTAGCTAGTACTAGCCTAGAAGTGCCGGAAAGCACGGCACATCGGCCGTGCTGACCGGCACTCCGGCATGGACCGACCCTGCAGACAAAGGACATGACACGCACAGATGCAGCCGTACATACGCACAATAGTTTCCTCCTTCCATCCTCACCATCTCTTCGTACACCTCATGCATGCCGTTGGCGTGCACGCAGGGGGCATGCGCAAGCAGCGGGCCTGGGGGGAACCTGTGTGAGACACACAGCACCACACACAGGGCCGTATGCGTCTACATGGCCACGGCTGGTTGATGAGCTTACAGGTGGAGGACGTCGTCGATGTGGTCGACGATGACGTCATAGGCGTCCCACATGTCGTCCTCTAGGTCCTGCAGCGGCCCAAAGGGCAGTCCCGTCACCAGGTCGTGCAACGCCGTCACCCGCTCGGCAAACTCATTGCCAACAAACACTGAAGAGCCACATACGTGAAGCATATGAAGATAGATAAGATGGGCAGGCAGGAACTTCTTTCTTTCTTTCTTTCTTGATGGATCTTACCTGGCAGCTCAGTGACGCGCTCGGCGATCCAGTCGTTGAGCCCCCACCTACGAGCATTGACGTACTCTCTACACAGGTGCGTCATTGTGGGGCCGTCCTCGTCGTTCATGTAGGCATCATTCCACACATTGTTGAGCTCCATCAGCTCCCGCTCGGCCCTCTCGATAAAATCCTCACTCACGAGTTGCAGCATCGTCCAGAAACACCCCACAATGTCTTCACTGCACAGGAAGGACAAGACAACATGAGGGAAATACACCAGTGAGTGCGTCGAGACGTGAAGGTCTGTCTGTGTCGTTGCAAATACCGACCGATACGACGGCTCCAGGCCCATCAGCGACCAGTGCGACGCGTATGCGAAGGTGCTCCGCATGCTCTCATACCGGCCGACGAAGCGGGGCTCCGTATGTGTCTGGTTGCCAATATAACGTGACCGGCAGAAGTCGACGAACTGTATGCGGAACTTGCCGTCACGCGGCAGCATGACTGCACACACAGAGAGAGAAAGGAACACACAGGCAGAGGTGAGTTCCTTTCTTTTCCTGTCCGTGTGTGTTCCTGTGTACGGTTGCGAGGGTTCTGGTCGCCGTGGATATGGCCCGTGGCGTGGATCAACTTCAACGACAACACCTGAGAACACAGCCAAACACACAGACACGCATGCATACATGCATCCATCCATCCCACCCAGCCACCCGTCCATCCATTGCAAAGCCTTCCTTACCGCCTCACGCATGAGCTCAAACATGGCCTTGACAGGGAAGAGCCCGCCCTTGCCCCACCACCCCTGCGCCACGCCCTGGAGATCCTTGAGGCAGGACTCCATCACCATCCCCGCCATCCCCTGCCCCACCACAGTCCACCCCTTGAATGCCGGCACCGGCATCACATCCCTCCCGATCCCCTGCCGCTTGAGGTCGTCGAAGATGCGGTTCAAAGTCCACGCCTCCTCCATGATGTTGGTGTTGAAGGCAGCGGCATGCGCTGTCTTGATGGCGGCCTGCTCCCCGTCCAGGTATCCGACGGCTTCGTCGACGCGCCCGTCCGTGCCACTGCCGTAGGGGCTGCCGAGGACGTACAGCTTGGGCTGCACATCGGGGCTGGCCGAAAACGTCGGCAGCAGGGCGCCTTCTTGCGGCCATGGCGGGCCCGACGCCGCCGCCCATCGGAACACATGCCCAATTACGTCCCTGTCGGATGCATTCAGCTCCGTGACATCCATCGCCGTCGAGTTGGTGAACGAACAGTGCAAACAGGCTCCTGCTTGCACTGGAAAATGGTTCGTTTTACGGAGCCATCCGCATGCATCACCGAGCTCAGCCCCCCGCTTCGATAGATTTATCGTCTCTTCACGTCGAATCGCCGCCTCCGCCAAGCGAAGGATCTTCTGCGCGCGCGTGCATTCTCACACAGCAGCTGGTAGCAGCTGGTAAGGAAGCCTGGTTTATGGATGGATGATTTTGGATGGCTGAATGGCGTATGGAGTGGATCACCCGCCCAAGCAAGGGATACATTGAGAGGCCAGCAAGTTTTGCAATGTACCTCTTCTCTGTGTATTGGTCAGAATCTGTTTGCGGGCCGGGGCGCTGAGTTGGGGATGGGATGCCTCTCATCTTTTTTAGGGAAGAGATAATTGACAGATGGCATCCATGCACTCGCTTGTCCAAATGCCTCTCATCACATCATGTGATGGTTCCTCCATGACTGTTCATGTTCATGTTCCTCCATGCTCTCGCGTATATGTTCCTTTCGGCAACACACTTGTCTGTGTATCCGGGTATATGTCATGGCTGACATGCTGTGTTGTGTCTCCAAGCCATCGATGTCAGTGAACGGACACGCCAAAGAACGAGACAGCAAATATAAAATGGAGGCAACGACTACCTCTTCCCTCTACTGTCCAACCGGGCAGCGAGGAAACCAAGCAAGCAGACGGCAAATATACAATGTGAACACCGATTCCTCCTTCCTCTCCCCCCTTCCGCCCGCCTTGACGCCTCTGCACAGGCGGGGCCGTGTGTGCCGGTGAGGTCACCCACATGCACAGCGAGAAGGGTTGAAAAAGCTATGCAATAGCGGCAGATGGCTGGATGGTCGGAAAAGCTACGATTGGCTACAGTCCACCTCTCAAACCCTCGTACAGCCCTCGACAACCTGCACGCGACCGACCCGACAGCTAGCTACACACTAAACAGTGATGTTGCACCGCTTGCGGCCCACCCCCTTGCGACTCTCCCCATTGGCCCACGCCAGGTCATCCTCACCCTCGCTCTCGTTGCTGTCGCCGTCCCTCTCTCGCGGCTCGTTGATGCTCTTGTCGTAGCGGCAGGGCTTGAGATTTCTTCGGCGCCGCTTGCGGGTGTGTGCGGCTTCCTCCTCCTCGGTGCTGGCGCTGGCACCAGAGCTGCTTGGGTCGGACGGTGGGGCCCCCTCCCACTCGACGTCCATTCCGCCCTCGCCCGACCCACCATCTCCGCCCGCTGCAATCCATTTTTTCCATGCAAGCATCATCTGTCTTCGGTGTTTCTGCTTACCACGTTGTCGGCCTCCCCTCGGCCCTCTCCCTCCTCTGCTGTCGCCTGCTGCTGGGGCAGGGGCGGTGGTGGTAGGGGCTTCGGCACGACAAACCCCTGACAGACACACAAACCCCTGAGGTGGGCTGTGTGCAGGAGTGTGTGCCGCCATGCTCACAGCCTGCTCAAAGGCTGTCTCTAGATCGTCCTTGTGGTAGGTGTCGGGCCCTTTGTCGATCCTGAATGGACGAGAAGGCACACAGAGAGGCAGACATTGTCCATTTGTGTCTCTGAATTCCCCTCCTCCCTCCCTTTCTTACTCGTCGACTATCATTTCGATGGTATCCCCGAAGAATTTCGACCCATAGGGCGTCATGTCGCCCAGCCCCAGCAGGTGCTCCAGCAGCTCCTTGACCTCACCAGCGGTCGACTCTTCATCCATGAATGCATCAATCAACACAAATGTGGTAGCACTGCATCAGTGTCCCTCACCCACTTACTCACCCACCCACCGGGCAGCATTCCATAGATGTCGTCCACCCATTTCTTGTCTGCCTTAAGTTGCGGGCCTTGAGGTACTTCTCGGCCGCCGCCACCACGATGGGGCGGCACGAACGAGCACTCGTCCACAAAGTGGAGGAGCTCTTTGAGCCACCACTTGAAGTCCGACGCCGTGGACTCTGAATGAAAGAATGAATGCATACGTCAACCAACACATATAGCTGTGGTCAGGACAGCACAAGTTTCATCATGTCTGTGTGTCGTCCACCCTGGTCAGCATGCCGTAGATGTCATCTATCCACTTCTTGTCCGCCTTGTCTGCCTTGTGCCGGGCCCGCCACGGTGGGGTGGTCCTTGCCGCCCGGCCGTTTCTTCGCTATGGCCTGGGCCGTCGCCTCGCTCAGCGCCCTTGAGGCGGCGCGGAACTCGTCGCCCTCGAAGGCCTTGGTCGTCACCATGGCCAGGCAGGTACGCACACCAGCACACAGGTCCTCTCTGAGAGGACATCGCGAAGACAGGCGATGAGATGAATATCGTGGCTCCTTCATTCGCTTACCTTCCGTTCCACATGAGGCCTTTGAACGTGTGGGCGCTCGCGAAGAGGTTGGTCCCTCGCATCGACCAGCCGCGGCCCACAAAAGGCGCCTTGGCCTCGCCCTTCCACCGATGCGGCTGGGGTCCAGGGAGCGGGAGGCGTCGATGACTTTCGGCAGGAACGGCACCTTCTCGCTAAACATAACGTTGCCCATCTTCAGGTCGAAATGGCCCTTGCCCGCGGCGTCGAGTTTGGGTTGATACGCTCCAGACAAATATAAAATGTAGACAACGATAGTCCATCAGCACCTCTGTCTGCTTCGCGGCCGACGAAGATTGGCTCTATCTGCCACCGCTGGACCTGGATGCCCTCGACGCATCGATCAGCTTGGGCATGAAGGGCACCGTCAAGCTAAACATAATGTTGCCCTTGCTCAGGTCCTGGTGGGCCTTGCCGGCGGCATGGAACTGCTGCAGGGCACAAACCTGCATGCATGCACACACAAAGACATCTTGTAAGACAAGTTCATCCTTTCTTTGGCGCGTGAGTCGTACCACGCCACCCCATCGCCGGCGCTGCAGCGCGACGATCTGCACACATATATACATCCATACACACACAAACAGCCGACAAGTCAGAATGCATCCGCATCTTCGATCCCTCCTTTCTCTCTTTCTCTCTTGTTGCATGCATCATCCATTCATACCACGTGCTCACACAACTGCAGTGCCGCCTTGATGGGCAGCGGCCGCCCCATCTTGGCCTGGTACTCCCTTATCAGGTCCTTCAGGTCGCACTGAAACTTCTCCATCACCAGGATGCTCATCGTGCGCCAGCCCTCGGCCTCATACTTGGTAACGCCCATGACCTTGGGTACCAGCGGCTTCTCCCTTGCCCTCATGGCCGCCTTGTAGACCGCTGTCAGTTTTTTGGCGTCGTTGGCGAGGGCGTGATCGCCGTGGTGGTAGCTTTTGCCGACATAGCTGCTGCCGTCACACCGCCGTCTGCACCCTTTTTGAGGGCCTTGTCCACCTGGAGCTCGAGCGGCTCTTCTCCGATGTCGGCGGCGGATTGGAGAAGGACTCTGGCGCCGACAGGGGGGTGGCAGAGCGCATCGGCGGTGTCGGCAAAAGGGCGCCTGCTTGCCGCCACGGGCCCTACGACGCCGCCCATGTGAAAACCTTCTCCAACACCTCCCTATCAGATGCGTTCAAGCTCCTGACATCCATCGCTTGCTGGGTGAACGAAAGAGCGCAAACAAGCTGTTGCCCAGGCAATCGGTTGAGAACGGGCCGCGGGTTCGAAAAAAAGAAAAAGCCCCCGTCTCTCATTTTGCCGTCTCACTTTCTCGACACGATATATCTCGCCTTCTCTGCTCATTTGGCAATGGTTCCTCGGCCACGCTACTCGAGCCTGCAGCGTGACATCCGTGGCGTGCGGCAGGGCGCCATCGATGAGGCCAAGCGGAAGATCTTCGGCCACCTTTCCGGCAAGGTGGGAGAGAAGTTCTTCACGCGGCCGCTGATGGCCAAGCAGCTCAACAGGTGGTACTACCCGGCTCGATTCCTGCTGCTCAACTTCCACGTCGAGCACTACTTCCAAATGCAGGTAGGTGCGTGCAAAGGTCATGGCTGATCTTGCCTTGCGTGTGTGATGAGATGAGATGAGATGTGATGTGTTCGTTCGTTCGTTTGTCTGTTTGCCAACAGGCCCAGCGGTTTGCGCCCACTGCTGCGCATCCGTCGATGGCGTACCTGTCCAAGTGCTTGGATGAGGTGTGCCGGAAGCGGGATGCCATCCGGGAGCTGTTTGGGCAGATGGACGAGAAGACCTTCTCGAACAACCCTTCACTGCAGGACCTGTACAGGTAAGTGAGAGGGACAGAAGAGAAGACAAGAGATGCAGGCAACATATGCATTGGATGACTGCTTATCTTGCGTGTCGTGTGTGGGTGTGGGTGGCTGCAGCTTGTATCGGACATTGCAGTCCGACAATCCTCTGCCCTTTGAGCCTGACCCACGGCTGTGGCGCGACAACGGCTTCAACTGGTACAACATGAGCACTCACACGCCTGAAGACGCCAGCAAAGGTACCACCTGACCCTCTCCCTCCCTCACACCACCACACCCACCCATCAATCCATGTGTGTCTGTACGCTTTTATGCAGCTCTCACCCTCCTAGAGTCGTCTTACCGCGAAGACCCCTCCCACAGCAACTGGGCACAAGACCTAAGGTCGCTCAAAGAGGCCCCCTCCCCCGCCCACCTCTCATCCTTGATCCAAGACAAACTCGGACAGCGCCACCAGCGCGCCACTGCTGACAATGGCTCCAGTGACAGGAGGCTGGGCGCTCGGCTGATGAAGGCCAAGACGGGCTTCGACGTCAGCTACACCCAGCTCACGGACAAGCCGATCGTCGACGCGAGGCAGCGATGGCGAATGCGCGACGACAGAGAGAAGGAGGTCCGGATGAGCAAGGCGAGGGAGGAGCGGAGAGAGGAGAGGGCGGCGCTGGCGGCGGCAGAGGCCAGGAAGACCACCACCCCATCAGCAGGAGGCAAGGAGGGCCGGTACCAGCTGCCGACCACCACCACTGGCCCAGCCGCCCCGGAGGGCATCGTGACGCAGGAGGATGAGGAGCAGGAGGCTGTTGATGAGGCAGAGCCAGAGGCAGCAATGGACCCAGAGGCTCTCAGCCAAGGCGTGCAAGAGGGGGAAAGGGAGGGGGGCACACTGGGAGAGGGGGAGGGAGAGGAGCACCCTCCCACGACACCAGAAGGCCCGTCCAAGAGCGGCGCTGAGGCGCAGTGGGAGGTCATGATGCGGCTCGTCGACGACAAGGACCTCGCCAACCAGCAGAGAGTCATTGGTAAGCGATGAAGGCAGAGGGGGAGGGAGGGAGGGAGGGAGGGAGGGAGGCACGGACACTCATCGATGGATGCCTTTATCTGTGTGGTGTTGTGTTGGTGCAGACGAGCGGCGGCATGAGCTTGAGAGTGCGTTGGGTCGCGACCCCCGGCTGCGGGCATACTACAAGACACGCCACAGGTTCTTCGAGCCCCTCTTCCGCCGACGACGCATCGCATACCTCGACAAGTCAGTCAGACACCCTCCCCCAACACACATGTGTGCCATATGGACGTGTGTGTGTGTGTGTGCGTGCGTGTTGCAGGTTGTCCCGCGGTCGCATCAAGCATGAGAAGGAGAAGAAGTACCACCGTTACATGGAGGACCACCCGGACGAGGCCGAGGTGTGGCCCCACAACAAGGGATCCATCACCGTGCCATGGCCGTCGCCATTCAACTAGCCCACAGACCGACCGAGCGCGACTTCCTCTTCGACAATTGTCGTGTAGACCGAACGCGTTGATGGCTTCTGCCTCCAGGCTGATCAGCCTGGCTGATCAGCCTGGAGGCAGACGCCGTCAGCGGTGCGGATGGTGAACGCGACAACCGGAGAGAGATCACGAGGGGGATGGTTTGCGCTTTACTGATCGCTCACAGCGTGTCATGTATTGTATACAAGCACTTCCCACCCACGTTTTCTGTGTATGGCTGTCGAGTGCTACGTTGCGGGTCCCTTGCGTGTTCATCGGCTTGCCCATGTCGCGGGCAAGACGGTGCGTTCGCCGGGGAGCCGCGACGCCCACAGGCAGCCACACAGATATGGCTGTGTGTATGTGTGAGGAAGGACCATCGTCCGTTCGATGCGATGCGCGCGTGATATGCGGCATTCTGCCTGAGACCGTTCGTTTGGTGAGGTGAGCTTGTTCGTCTATCGACTGATCGCTCGGTCTGGGTCACCATACACATGCTAACACAGATGCATACAGACAGGCAGACTAGTAAACCCACTCACACAAAGCCAATATTGTGGCTGCCGTCAGCCATGCTGCACCCATGCCACCCATCCACACCATCGTCTGTACCAATCAAATGTTCGCCTGTACCTACCAGAGATGACGTGTGGCTGCCTGTGTAGCGTCCCAGCCGCGCAGATGGCAAGCCCGAGTCACGGGCAAGCCGATGAATGCACCACGGGTCGGCAGCGCGACACAAGGCATCCGCACACAGAGAGAGAACTTACGTAGGAACACCATATGTGGGTGGGCACCCTTTGTGTTTTCCTCTCTTCGCTCTCTCGAGGAAAATCGCCCCGACGTACGTACTAACATGCCAAAAGAAGCCTCAAATCATAACTAACCATCACATTACCAAATCGACGTTTCATTCTACCTTCCGTCAGCCTGCCTGCCTGCCTGCCTGTGTGTCAGCTGTTGGTGTCTCGTGAGCTCCAGTCCCCCGACACTTTTGACAACCAACGCCACTTGACACGTTGGCCATCCAGGTACCGGGCACAGACGGCATTCACGAGGCACTGCCAGCAGACACCACCTAGCAGGAAGCAGTACGTATGTATGTCTGTACCAATCCGGTCTCTCTCCCCCATTCATCGCTCGCTCGATGGAAGGTGAGTCAAATCGTGTCAGCTGAGAGCCCCCCATCTCCGCCAATCATCAGGACACAGGCATCCGATGACTGAAGGAAATGGAGGCGATTCTCAACACGACGCGACACACGTCCGATCGAGGATTCGCTTCAGGAGAGAGAGAATGGGAAAACCACTGACTTAACATCACACAGAGACCAACAGCCACCCGAAAAAACACAGCCGCCCATCCATCCATCCATCCGACCACGCACAACTCATCGATCTAGGTATCGATGTGCGTATGCACATGTCTCTCTCCCTCGTGTGTGTCGACCTAGGTGCTCTGTCGGCCGGCCTTGATTGCCTTGGTGACGTTGGTGAAGTACTTGCCCTGGTGCTTGGCCAGCGCCAGCTCCTTCTCGCTCGGCATCCGGCTGCCGTCAGCTCCAGCGAAGGTACCTACACACACACACACACACAGGGGGTGGGGTGGGTGGACGGACGGAAGGGTGGGTGGGCGTGTGAGGGTCTCTCATCTCATCTCACCTGCTCCGTATGCCGATCCGCCGTGTATCTCGCTCATGTCGAACTGCACCTCCCCGAGTGTGTAGCCGATGGGCACGAAGATCATGCCGTGGTGGGTGAACTGCGTCAGGGCCGTCAGAGCTAAACACACACACACACACACACACACACGCATCGGCCCTGACGATGACAGCACACACACCACAGCTAGGCACTTTTACTTACCGGTAGTCTCCTGTCCGCCGGCCTGTGTGGCTGTCGAGAAGAAGATGCCAGCGGGTTTGCCGACCAGCTTGCCGCCCTGCCACAGACCCCCCGTCGCATCCCACATCGCCTTCACTGCACACACACAACACAAGACATGCACACAAGTGAGCATAAGCACAAGCAGCAGTGTCGGGAGAGATTATGTGTGTGTGGTGCTGACTCTGTGCACACATGGCGCCGAAGCGAGTGGGCGTGCCGAACAGAATGCCGTCCGCGTCGGGCAGCGTGTGCACGTCCACCACGGGGATCTACGACCACGACAAGCGCAGCGCACACACGCATACCAACCAGAGCATATATCAGATGGTTGCTTCCCCATGTGGCTCACGTCTGTGTCTTTGGGCGGTGCGGACATCTTCTTGAGCACCTCATCCGAGAGGGTCTCCGCCACCTGCACAGCACAAAGACGGACACACAGACACACAGACAGACAGACAGAGATCCCTGGCTGGGATGTGGGCATGCGTATTGCCGTGTCGCCAGTCAGTCAGTCAAGTCAGTCACCTGGTACAGGAGGCATTCGCCGCCGGCCTCCTCGACGCCCTTCTTCATCTCCTGCGCCAACGCACGCACGTGGCCATACTGCACACACAACACAACACAAGACAGTCACACATGCAGCACACCACGAGCCAGCGCATGAATGTGTGTGTGTGTCTGTGTGCGGACGGTGGGAGATGGCGTGATGCCTCTTTCCCGCCCCGCTCGCCCACCATGGAGTAGAAGACGATGTAGACTTTGGGTTTGCTCATGTTGCCGCCTCCAAGCTCCTGCACACGTATCTCGTCGTCGATGCCCCTGAGCTTGGTGCCTTTGGTGGGCAGGCAGGGGCAGCAAGACATGCACTCACTGCGCACGCAAGGAACGGACGCACAGATCCCTGAAAGAACACGGCTCGAGTCGGGCGCGAGGCAGATCCGCTTTCGGCCGTTGTACGGGCAGATATGGGCCGAAAGCAGATCCTACGGCACAGACAGCTTTGGCTGGCTCCATCGAGTGAAGCAGGCCATTCAGAACACGTGCTGGGTCCGACATGCTCACACATTTATTCACTCATGGAGGTATCGTCCGTCCGTCCGTCCGTTGCCGGCCTTGTTGCCCTGGCTGATCAATTCTGATACACAGGCAGGTAGGCAGGCAGGCGGGGAGGCAGACACACAGGTGGATACACACAAACACACAGAGAGTAGCCCGTCCGCGAGCCACTCACTGAATTCCAGCCAGGCAGCCAGGCACACACCGCGCATAAACACGCTCTCTCACGCACACACTCACGGGCACACGCCATGGGATGTTTCTTAAAGCACCAACGCACCCCTTCACAGCCATCCGCCCATTCGCCCGCCCAACCAATCCGACCGGTCAAAGATGGATGGAGAAAAATCTGCCATTCTGCACGTCACACGCAGCATGAGGGCCATATACGCAGCCACACACCAGCAGCACGGCAAGTCAGACAGACAGACAGACGGTGAGAGAGAGGGCGAGAGGACGAAAGAAAGACATACGGCGAGAGAGGAGGAGGGAGAAGGGGAAGGGCCGCGGAAAAATCAACCACTTCATGCATGCTGCACAGGTGAGTGGCGCGCGCGGGTGCGCGGGAGGGCGGACACCCACACATCATTCACAAGACAACACACTGAAAAAAGGAAAACGGAGGCACGGCAGGAGGAAGGAAGGTTTCGCCGTCGTCTGTGAAAAATAACTCCCGTCTCATACGCCTTGTGTGGCGTGTCCGCCCACTCGCCTCCCCACGACTGACAGACAGACTGTACACACACACACACACACACGAGAACTTTCATGGGCGCCCTTTCAGAAAAGGGACGAAAAATGGGAAGGAACATCGCACGCACACACACACAGAGGCACAGAAGGCAGGTATAGGGGGTTCTCTCGTCCCCAGCCTGTCATGTCTGTCTATGCGACTAAGTGAGTGCCTGCACGCCGGCCCGTGAGGTGCTGTGCGGCTTCCCCAACACACACACTCCACACACACGCATGACTCCACGCAACACAGCAAGCAGGTCTGTCTCTGTGTACGGGGGCTAGCTCGGGCTGTACATGACGTTTGTCGCTCTCCCTCCCTCCCTCTCCGTCTGTCTGGTTTGTGCGCACCCCCCCACTCGCAGCCAACAAAAGCACTTCTTCTGTCTCTTCTTTGACGGCTTTGCCCATAAGTCAGTCAGTTAGTCGAGCCAGAGAGAGGCCTCCAAGATGTCAAGATGATCCCACCTTTCTGTCCGCGGGCTTCATTACCGTAGCCGAGGCCGACGCCAAAAGGTGCCCATTGCAACGCAACAGTGGGCACCGTGCGGACTCGGCCACGCATACGAGAATGAAGACACACAAGACATGTGGGCAGACACGGCGACAAATAGCCCTCGGCCAGCCCCCCATTGACATGGCATCCACTCATATATTCGAGCACACACATTCATTTCACGCCACGCGTCAAAAGCGGTCAGCCACTGGCAGGCATGTCGCTCCAAAAGTTCCCTCCTCCCTCCCTGTCTGTCTGCAAAAGTAACCCTCTCACACACACCATACATATCACACGCATACACACAACAGACAGGCGACCGACAGCCGGCGGCCAGAAAGAAAGAAAGAGCAAGCCCGGCCCGGCCGCGCAAACAAAAAATTGCAAAACCTTCCACTCCACTCACACACACACGTGGATATGCAAACACTTCCGCACCCACACAAAGCACGCCATCGATCCAGCCATCGATTAGCCCGCTGGTTTGTCTATCATTGTGAGGAGTAGATGCCGCCCTGTCCAGTGGCCGTGCCGTCGACATAGGGCGTGAGGTCCTCTTCGGCAGCAAACCCATCCAAAGGCGTCGACTGATGCTCAAACGTGTCACCTCGAGACCTGACACACAAACACAAACACAAACACAACGACTTCTCCCTCTCCGCTATCTCTCTCTCCGCCTTTCCTTTCTGATGCACACACGCACGCACCCGTTGATCCAGTATCGCGGCCCCTGTGCCAGCCCATGTTGCCTCGAGGACTGGAAGGGCGCGTGAGAGCTCTCGGTGTCGCCTCGCAGGTCGGGCGGGCCGATGTCTGGGTGCTGGTGGTGCTCGGCCGTGAGCGGCACGGGAATGTTGGCGCGGCCCTTGGTCGACACTGGATGGTATGACACCAGGCCGTGCCCTGTGCGTGTGCCAGGCAACAAACAAAGAGAGTGGGGGAGTGTGCACATGGTACTGTGTGTGTGTGTGTCTCTGTGTGTGTCTTTGGCGGTATTACAGTAGTTGAGCATGAGTTCGTTCTCCCTCTGGTCGCCCAAGCGGTTCAGCAGAATGTAGGTGTCAGTGCCATACCTGCACAACACAACACAACACAACACAACACACGATACATGTACCACACCTTCTTTCTCCCCATCTCCTTCCCTCCCGCCATCCCCTCACCCACCCAGCAACGCTGTGTATGTTGAGGTCGCCCCCGAAGTACCGACAATAGAGGCGCGACAGCGGCAGACCGAAGCCATAGCCACCCACCTCCTTGGGCGTCACCAGCCCGCCCACCGGGCTGCCGTGTGCGGCCTCCCCCGCTGCGCCGGGGGGGACAGTGCCGTTGAGCGGGTTGAGGAATGAGGGGCTGGGCTGCTGGTGGTTGTGATTGTGATTGTGCTGGTGGTGTGTGGATGTGCACTGGCTGCTGTCGTGGGTGCGCTGGTGGCCGACGGTCGTGTAGCCGTACCGCCAGATGTTCTTGAGCAGATCTGATGACACATCAGAGACAAACAAACAGAGAGACCGACAGACAGACAGACAGACAAACAGCGGGTGGGTGTGTCGTGGGTGTCGGTCGGATCGTGTGCAGAATGAATGAAATGGCTATTACTTGATTCCATGCCGCCCCCTTCGTCCGAGACCTTGACCATCACGTCGTAATGCCCCTTGTGCAGACGAACACGCACCTGATCAATAACCAACACACACACACATACACGCCATGAGACAGACACCCAGATGCCCACCAAACGGACCGACCTTTGGTATGGATTCGTCGAAGCAGTCGCTGTTGGGGAACTTCCTCAGGTGGTTCTCGACGGTCGCGCGCATGCTGTTCTTCATGATCTCAAAGAGGATGAACTTGACGTGCTCCGGGATGAAGGAAAACGACAGATCTAAGTCGCCCTCCAACTCAAACTGAGGCGACCGCCCGTACACCCATATCCCGATCTGCACAGACGACAGACAGACAGACAGACAGACAGACAGACACACCAACACGCAGCCAGCACCCACACACACACACACACACACACACAGCCAAGTGACCGGACCGCATCAGCGCCCTCCCGCCCCACCATGCCAAGCCCAGCCCACCCACCTGCGACACGCGATCAGCGACGGCCTGGATGAGCGGTGCCGGCCTGAACTGCTGGTGGATGATGCCCACGTACGGCCTCTCCGGGTCGACAGCATCGTCGTCAGACGGCCTCGACGAGGGGGACGGCCGGCTGGGGGAGGAGGAAGGTGTGGATGATGGGGGAGATGACGGCGGGTCGGCCTTGAGCGCCTCCAAGTCACGAAAGTGGTCCTCACGCACAGCCAGATAGTGCTCTGGACGAACAAGGAGGACATAGCGTCAGCACGGCAGTGTGTGTATCTGGTCCTCCGTCGTACCTGAGATGAGTCTGTTGCCGATGCGGGTGTTGAACAGCCGGTCGAGAAATCGGTCTAGGGCGATGTCGGGGTAGGACGCGCGCAACTCCACAACACCCTTTTGCATGAGACTGGTTACCTCGGCATGCTCAGAAACCTGACACAACACACACACACACACACAGAATCCTCGTGTGTGCGTGTGTCAGTCTGTCTGTCTGTCTGTCTGCTGCCTCACCAGCCTCGCCAGTGTCCTGGCAAAGTGCGCCTCGGCCCTCTCGTCCCGAACGTTGCCCACCCCGCTAATCTTCTCGAACGCATCGGCATACATCGAGTACACCCTGTGGATGTGCTCGTTGCCCGTCACGACATACGGCAGCCTGTTGAAGTCGTACAGCCGGTGCGCCAGCCTCACAGGCAGCTCCCGTTGGATCCAGTTGGCCGCCCGCACGAGCGCCTCGGTGCCGGCGCCCTCGCCAGTGCGGCTGACGGCGCATGCCTTGGCGTGCCGCATCATGTCGCGTATCGATATGGGCGTCACGGCCTGCTGTGCGACCTTCTCGATGCGATACAGCAGAGACCTCGTCAGACCTGAGATGCCGCACTCCATCTCAGTAGCTGGTGTTGAGAGAGGTTGCTCCGATGACGTCCGCTGTTGCTAACTAGCGAAAGACAGCTAAGCACGAGCCTTCCACATGTGCCTCACAACAACCCGTACGCGTCGCGTTTGTGTGGGTCGCCAACAGCTTTCAGGGTTTGGTAAGCTCGCAGGGTTTTTGATTCTAGCTCGCTCGGATTTTTTCATTCCTCTCATTTTCATCCCTCTCCAAGGCCGCCTGAGTCGTCCTGATGCTGTTTCTGACACGCTCTCTCGATGAACATCTCGACTGACTCATCCGCCGCCAAGCAACATGGATGAAGGCAGCGACTCAAGCAAGCAGTCGCCCAACGACACTACAGAGAAGAGCAGCAGCGCCTCCTCTGTCCACCCTTCGCTCAACTTGCCTCAGAACGGCTCTCACATCGATCCCAAGGCTCAGCCGATGAGTGATCTGCCGCTCGACGCTCAGGGCGAAGCAGCAGCGTCTGCCGGCTCAGCAGAGGACAGCAGTGGCCAGCAGGGCGCGGCAGACGCCAAGCAGGATGATGCGATGGAGAGGCTGGCGGCGTATCTGCTGAGCATCGCAAAAGACTCACCCGAACACAAGCAGCAGCGACCGGAGCAGCCCAACCCCTCCCCCCTCTCAGCCAAAGACGACACAGACACCGCAGGCGAGCCCTCCCCACTGACCGTCGCTTCACAGCAGCAGAACCAGGCGGGCGGCACTGCGGGCGGGGCGGCTGAGGGTGCCGGTGAGGGTGGTGAGGGCGGTGGCGGTGAGCAGCAGGAGAGTGGTGATGGTGACGGGAGTGGGGATAAAAAGGACGGCAGTGGTCAGGAGGGCGGGGCGGGAGGTCAGGAGGACGATGAGGAAGACGAAGACAAGCACCCGTCCCCCAACGGACCACAAGAAGAAGCGGTGAGTGAGTGAGTGAGTGAGTGGTGGGTCGGTTGCACGAACTGGATGCGTCTCTCTGTCTGTCTGTCTGTGTGTGTGTGTGTGTTCAGGGCTGTCTTCTGCTGCAGGTTGGGTATGGCCGCCTCAGCTCGCTGCGCCTGCCGTTTCGTGTCGGTGTTGGCAAGGAGTACGAGGTGCAGTCCATGATACAAGTTCACAACCATACGGCACAGGCCACTGGTGAGTGAGCAAACAGCGGCGACCAACACGAGCACAAACCGTCACAAACCTGTTCGTTGTATCGTGTGTGTCCTTCAGTCGTGTCGTGGGAAGACGGCAAGAAGCTCATCTGCCAGATGGTACACCGCCCATCCATCCATCCATCCATCAACACATTGTTTGTCTTGTCGTCGGTTTCAGGCGCGACCCTTCGACGTGCCGTCGCTGCTCTCCGATGTGAAGAAGAACCTGCCGTGGACCAAGGGGGGAGGTGACAAAGAGCCCAACAAGTCCACCAAAGAGCCCAACAAGCCCACCAAGACCCTCCGTCATCATCTGGCTGAGGCGCTAGGGTACAAGTTCAAGTTCGACATCGGTGCTGACGCCATTGTAGCTGACACTGGTGGTGGTGGTGATCGTGAGGGGCAACGCGAGCGTGTCTGAGGACCAGAAGGCCGGTGGTGACAACGACACGGGCGGCAGCAGTGCCAGCAGTGGGGATGAGGGCAAAGGAGGGACGGGCGCGTCTTCGTCGGCGGGGTCGGGTGGCGACTCGCCCTTGTCGTCAGACAGCCCACCGCCTCCCCCTCCCCCGCCCCCGCCACCGCCAGCAGGAGTACGGCCCCAAGACCTTGTTCGATGCGCTGGAGTCCCATCAGTTCGGTAGCCTCGCCCGCCAGCAGTTCGTGTACCAATACCTCAACGGTCAGCAGTACACACACCTCATCCATCCATCCATCCATCCATCCCTCCATCTCTCCCTTTCTCAGCCTCTGCCAAGCTCAAGATCTGCCCCGAGCCGGTGTACCACGAGCGCGTCGTCGACCTGCAGCAGGCCAACTTTGGTCGTGCTGACGTGGACTTCTTCATCAATGAGCGGCTGGACTGCGATCTGGATGCGGTCATGCGGTATGCCGAGAGGTGGGAGCAGGCGCAGAGTGAGCACCTGGAGCGGTCACGGCCCACACGGGGGGGCCGCGACAAACTGGCGCACAAGAGACTTGCTCTGGAGCTAATGATAGAAGCGGTAAGGAAGATAGAGTGCACACGTGTCATGGATGTGGTCTATGAATGCAGTCCTGCCTGCCTGCCTGTGCAGGTCAGGTCCTTCCGTGAGCTTCACTCGCACGGACTCGTCCACGAACACGTCAAACCTAGAGTACGCACGCAGACAACATTACACACACACACACCCCAACCAACCAACCACGCAACTCTCCTCCCTCCATGTGTTCAGAATATGATGGTCAAGTACGGCCACGGCAAGCGTGTGTATCTGGTGGACCTCAAGCAGTGCCGCCCCGTCCGCGCCAAGCCGACCGACGACGAGGAGACACTCAACAGCCTGCGCCGAGGATGCCCAGCGCACACCCTCGACTTCATGCCCATCGGCACACACGACTGCCACCTCTCCCCACCGGCATTCAAGTGAGTGAGAGTGGGTGGCCGACAGACTGATGCGTCCATCCTCCACAACACTCACTGGCTCGAAGGTGCATCGTTTCTGTCTGTCTGTCTGTCTGGATGTGTGCTGTGTGCCTTGCAGGGATGACCTGGAGGGTCTGGCGTATGTTCTCTTGTGGTTGAAGGGCCCCCTGCCGTGGATGACCAAGCAGCTGCACAAGCACGGCATCCCGAGGCCCTGGCTGACGACTCCCACGAGTCAGCGCAACGAAATCTGTCAGTGGAAGGAGGAGATGGACGTAGAGGAGGCGTGTGCCGGGCTGCCCGGTAGGGAGAGAGATCGGTGAAGACAGGTGGACGTAGCTCATTGGTCTCTCTCTCTCTCTCTGTGTTCGTGTCTGTGTGTGGGCAGGTGCTGTGTGTGAGTTTGTGAGGGAGGTGCGGAGCTACGGCCAGTTTGATCTGCCGCGATACGACCACCTCATAGAGTTGCTACGAACAGCCATCGACCAGTGAGTGAGAGAAGACCACACTGAGGATGGATGGATGGATGGATGTGCCAATGTCATGTTCCCTCTTGCGTCGTGTGTGTGTCAGATTGCCTGCATCTGAGCATGTGCGTCGGCTGCCCTTCTTGGATGAGGCCCTCACGCCCCCCGGCTGCCGCATCGCACGACACTTCACCGACCAACACAACCTCACACGACTCAAGAAGCTCGCCACCCTGCCGTCCTCCGCCACCGGCACCCGCAGCGGCACCAGCACCACAGCTACGCCACCCCTCCCCTCACCCACCGAGACCGAGGCATCGCCAGCACACGAGCCAGCTCCTCCCAGCCTCTCGGCCGCCGAACGTGCACGGAGTCTGGCGTGTCTGCAGTCACCGGACGCGAGTCGGTTTGCTGCCCTCGTGACACCGAGCGAGATCACGCTTCTCGGCGAGTTCATGCTGTGGGCGACTCAGCCGGACGGCAAGTGGTACCGGCTGATCAAGAGGGTGGGCGAGAGGGGCGGCGAGGGCGCGTCGGCGTCTGTCCCCGTGACGCTGGCGGGTCTGCCGGAGAACTGTCTGTGTCGTGTGACGGACTTCATGACGACCCTCGAGATCATTGGCCGTGTGGGCCTGTGGGCAACTGCCTTCCGCTCCCTCGCCATCAGGCCGGAGTTCCACACGCGGCTGACCATCGCCGGCGAGCCGCAATGGCACCGATTCGACCTCACCGTGTCGAGCCTGTGGGCGCCGCGCATGACACTCATCTCGACGGCCGACATCAAACCCCCCCTACCACTCGTCCCCGACAAGACGGAGATGCTGGTGGTGACGGCACGTACCAGCAAGCAAGTCGGCGACCCCCAAGTGCGGTTCGACTTCCGCCCAGGCAGTGCTCGCGCGGTGTCGCACATGAGCCCCTCGCCGCCCTTTGACAGTGTCAATGACAGCGCCATGACGCTGCCCTTCGCCTACCCCCTCTCGTCGATTCTCACTGGCGCCATCCGGCCCCCATTCATCCCGCCCACCCTCCCGGCCGTCAAGTACTACCCCAAGCCGGCGTCATCCTCGGCCAAGGGCCCCTCCCTGGCCAGCAGCAGTGGCCAGCAGGAGGGAGAGGTGAGCAGCCGCGAGATGTACCCTGACGTGGCGGCGTATCTGCTGAAGAAGCATCCCAAGGCCGACCCCACAACCAAGCAGCAGCGACCGGAGCAGCCCAGCCCCTCCCCCCTCTCAGCCAAAGACGACACAGACACCGCAGGCAAGCCCTCCCCACTCACCGTCGCTTCACAGCAGCAGAACCAGGCGGGCGGCACTGCGGGCGGGGCGGCTGAGGGTGGTGGTGAGGGTGAGGGCGTTGGTGGCGGTTGTGATGAGCAGCAGCAGGGGCGCCGTGTGGCCAAGAGCCCCCTTCTGCGCAAGTTCGAGACCACCGGCAGCGTCCGCACCATCCTGCACCCGCGCGAGCCGCACCTCAAGCCGTTCGCCATCAACGGGGTGGTGGGTGTGCTGGAGGCATCGCACGCGACGTTGGCCGAGCTGCGTGTGCGTGACGGGAGGGTGGACCTGCCGGAGGTGCCAGCGGCCTACGGCTTCAAGCCGCCCCGTCCGTGTGGCGTCGATCGGTCCGGTGACGCTATGCTGGAGTTCCCGAAGCTGACGACTGTGGTGATGCCATCGGACAAGGCCAACATCAACGGATTCACCAAGGTGAGGGACAGACAGAGGCACACACTGGCGGCCCATTCACGTGTGTGTCCCTCTGTGTGTGTGTGGTGGGTGGGCAGGTAGCCTATGTGTGTCGGTGGTCTCTGCCGAATCTGACGTCTCTGACGGTGTCGGGCGACTGCCGCGAGCATGCGGCCAGCAGATCGCCAGACGACCCTAGCTTCTGGCGCAGCCAACTCCGCTCCTGGAGGGCTCTCGCCAGCTCAGACAGCCCCTTCAGACACCACACACAAGTGCCGTACGACGAGGCCACGCGCATACTCGAGCACGCAGGGGCCGAGCGTCAGAACAGAGACAACCATCGGTAAGACCACACACGCACACACGAGATGAGGCTGGCTGCCGGTCGGATGGCATGGCCCATGTGTCTGTCTGTGTGATGTGTGTGTGTGTGTCTGTGTCAGTGGGGAGATCCTGGGAGTGTACATTGGTGTGTGGATGATGAAGGCTGAGAACATCGATACCATCAAGGTGACCGGCATGCCGGTAAGTAAGACAAGACAGCCGAGCCGAGCTGAGCTGACAAGACACCACCGACAGACACCGCCATGCACACGCTCCCCTCTCTTTGCCCTCCGCTCATCCCTGCCAGGTTGACGTGTTGACGACCGCGCTTTCGCTGCGCGCCAGGCTGCCCCAGCTGCGCCGCCTGATCGACGCCATCAGCCCCGCGGCCACCCAACAGACCCTCATCCAACTCAAGACCCTCCTGCAGCAGAAGGGCGCGCCACTGGCCGACAAGATCGTGGTGCCGCTGACAGACGACGACAGGGACCACGACAGTGACAACGAGGGTGAGGAGGAGGGCGAGGAGGACAACGGTGGTGGTGGTGGTGGTGCAGACGGCGGGGAGGGCCAGCAGCGCAGCAAGACGAAGCGCAAGGTCATCCCGTATGTCGACCACTGCATGACCCAGTAGACAACACAAGATACCGACCAACTAAGCAGGAGGGTGAGGAGGGACGGGGGGAGGGAGGGCGGGAGGGAGGGAGGAAGAGGCCACAGAGGCCGTGGATGTGTTGTGTTGTGTTGTGTTGTGTGTGCAGGTGGGGTGGCAGGATGGGATGGACGACGACAGGACGACAGGACGACACACAGGACCACTGGTCTGTCTGGCTGGCTGGCTGGCTGACTGACTGCATCACGACTACTGACTGACTGACGGCATGGATGCATCACATGTGTGTATCTGTAAGTACCGACGTGTGGATAGCATACACAGACAGACAGACTGACCGACGGATGGATGGATGGATGGTCGACTCGATCTATATGTTGCTTGTCTGTCGGACGCTCTGTACCGTACGGCGCGCTGATTCGCCTTAATACTTACACAAGGACTGCCTCCATCTTTATTGTCCATTCTGTCCGTCATCGCACACACACACGCACACACACACACACACACGGACAGAAACCGTTCAATAAACCATGGCATCTGTCTGGTTAAGCAGCAGTATACATGAGCTCTCACGTCAGTGTGACTCCTGCAAGCCATCCCATCCCTCTAGCTATCACTGGTCGGCTGGCTGGCTGGCTGGCCGGCAAAGCCACGCTCAATCAGCATGCGCACAGCACAGCACAGCCCAGCCTAGGTACGAAAAACCACAACGCACGAACCACACGAATGCTCAAATGCAGGCCCCCCCTCCCCCCCCCACACACACACGAGGTAAAACAAAACCTCTGTGCTGTCTGTCTGTCTGTCTGTCTGTTTCCCCACCCAATCACACCCACACCACACAGAGACAGACAACAACACCGCCTTCCTTCCTTTCCCCCTCTCCCCTACTAAGTGACCCAACTCAGCCCAGCCCCAGGGCCTCCCCCACCACAGCTTCCAGCGCCCCCGCCTCACACATGTTCCGCCCCAAGTGGAACGTCTTGGAGCGCTGCGGCCCCCTTAACCGCCCCAAAAGCTTCCGGTGTGTGCCGGTTGCAGGCGGGGGCGACCGGGGCTGCTGTCTCTGAGCTCCAGGCGGCGATTTGTGTCGGTGGAGGTCGCAATGGCCGCCCTGAATGGCGAAGATGTTGCCCGCTGACGTCTTGGTGGGCAATTCTGCCTCTTCATTCTCGTTGTTGTCTTGGTTGGTGTCGTCAGGCGCGGGCGGTGGTGGTGATGGTGGCGGCAGGGGTCTCTTGGCCCGGATGACGGTGTTGATGCGCGCCCAGTTGGCTATGAAGTTAGTGGGGTTGTCCTGGTTTGGGTCGTTTGGATCTCTGTAAAGGTAATCGTCGAACTGGCAGTCATACATGAGCCGATCCATCTCAAAATACTCGGCCGCTATCACCATGCGACCATTCACCTGAACACACGTGGGGATATGTCTGTGTGTGTTTGTGGCGGTGGGGAGGGGCCGGGCTCTTACTTCGTCAAACCCGCTGACGAAAACGCCAATACTATCCAGCTTCTCCTTGACCTTATCCATCGACATTCCCGCAAACGGCTGATCTGCAGCCATCCATCCATCCATCCAACACACGCATACAGGGCAGGGCAACAGACTCCTCCCCCACTCTCTGGATGTGATGTGTTGCTTTGCCCTCCCGCCTTGACTCACTCATTCACCCACCCCCTCAGCCACTCACCCTTTCCATTGAGGTGCACCCTGACGTTCATCGGCGACCAGATGACCGTGGGCGTGAACTCGAGGCGCGCTTCTCTGATCTGGTAGTCAAACTCGCCTGTCGGCGTCTCCTCCTCAAACCCCATCGTCACTGAACACCACACACACTCGTTATGTCGTGTGTCTGCAGGGGGGGGTGTGTGTGTCTGTAGGGGCGTGTGTGTGCGCGCTTACCACTGAAGAGCACGTTGCCCAGTATCTGCTTGCCCGAGGGGGCCATCCGGAACTTGGCCCAGATCTGACCACGGTACTTGTGGTGCTCGTAGATGCACACCTTGTCGCTGAAGCAGATGTGCCTTTAAGCGAGACAGAGACAACGTTAGATTGAATCAACGGGCGGGTGTGTGCGTGCATCTAACGGTCTGGGCCTCTGGAATTTCATCAGCACGAGTCCCGTCCCCACCACTATCAGCAGCTTGCTGCACAGCGACTGCACCGACAGAATGATCGTCCCTGTGGGGTCCTGCGGACCATACTACAACACTCGACCAGAGAGAACACAGCATAACACACACACACACACACACACATCCATCCATCCGTCTGTGTAACGCCCATTGCTCACCGGTCCGTCGACGCCCATGAAGTTGGCCAGCGAGATGGCGAAGGCCCAGATGAAGTCTTCGTCAGGCAGGTCGTCGAAGCCGAAGAAGCTGTCGGGGAAGGCCATGATGACCAGCCCAAAGACAATCGAGAAGGCAACGCTGATGGCGACGACCAACCCGAGAAGGAAGAACCAACTCGACTGCACATGATGTGGAGGATGACAGAATGAATGGCTTTGATTGATGCGTGTGGCTGTGGCTGTGTCTGTGTCTGTGTGTGTCTGGCGTCCCGTCCCACCTCTGCCAGCCATCTTGTGGGCGCAGCGTCGCGCGGCTTGTTGATCGTCTTGACCATGAAGCCAGGGTCTGACGTGAACTGGTTGATCCTGCTCACGACACACAGCACACGATCCATGACACTGACAGGGCAGTTGCATTCTCCCTCCCTCCCTCCCTCCCTCTAAATTGCTCACTTTGGTGCCTTGCGCACGAACGGGTTGCTGTAGATGACATCGAACGTCTTGAGCCTGTCCATCTGGCTCTCGCTCCTCGTCGCAGACGTGCCCCTGCTGATGCTGTTGCTGAACCGCGTCCAGCTCTTCTGCAGCGGCCGCATCAGCGCCTTCCAGTTGATACGGGTGCTCAGCCGCCGGAAGCCATCGGGCACTGCTGCAGCTTCTCCTGTGGTTGACTGAGAGTTTTTCGGCTCCATCACGACAGCACGCATCGAGCACGGAGTGGCACTGCGTCGCATGATCTCTCTGGCCTCATTCTGTTCTGTTGCTGCTGCTTGTGAAGCGTGTGGAGCTTGAAAAGCGGCAGGTGGGTCAATGCCGTCGTCGAGCTCCGGTGGCGGCGAACGGCTGTCTGTCGTAGGGCTGGGCATTGCCATTTGCTGTTTTGTTGTTTTGCTGCAGATCTGCTGGTTTAAGCTCGCGTGTGACGTGGCTCAAGTGTTGAAGCCACAGACGTTTTGTCTTTGCTCCCAGAATGGCTGGCAGCAGCGCTTCAGATGAGGACCAGGCACCACCGGGCACACTGCAGTTGCTTTGCAGTGTGCCTGGGGCTGCCTGGTGCTTATCTGAAGCGCTGCTGCCAGCCATTGGCTCTTCACTCATCGAACAAAAGCAGACACGACTCTCTGTCTGACAAGTGTCGTTGTGCGAGGAGGTGCAACCGACTCGCTGTCCGTCTGCCACGAGATCCACCCCGCCAGTAGATGTGACGGAGTGGATTGCGTGTCAGAAGCAGAAGGAATCACTCCCACCTTCTCACTCACGCGACAGACACCCACAGCACAGCACCTGTCAACTCAACAGGAGCTAAAGGTACACTTCAGCGATTACACAAAGCAGAAAGAAGGCACCTTCCCCACGACCCACAGTCTGGTTCACGCGCCTTCGACGCCCCGCCATCCGCCACGCACAAACCTGAGTCTCTCCTTCCCGGGCGGAAGGGCGTTTGAGGGCACTGGCTCGGCGGCTGGCGGTGGCTGTGGGCTGCCCGTCTCCTGGCTGAGTCTCTCGAGGTAGGTGCGGCGGCGGTCGACGGCCAGCTCCCGCGCCTTGTCGAAGCCATGCACTTCAGCTGACAAACATGATAGACAGGCAGTCAGAGGCAGGGAATGGGCAATGTGGGAGAGAGAGAGTGGGGCACCTGGTGAGTTCTGTCCTTACCGCAGAATGCGCGTGTGCATGGCCTTCCGTTCTCGCGGTACCAGGTGACCCACGATGAGAGTTTCTCGTCCCACGTGACCCCGTCAATGCCGCTGTCGTAGTGGGGCTTCGACCCCAGACGGCCGTCTTGCTGCACAGACACACACATACACAGAGAGAGAGAGGGGGGGAGAGTGGCGCCTGGCCGGGTGTGTGTAGGTGTGGTGACCTTGAGTTGAGTGTAAAACATGAATGCCTCTCGCTTGGCGGCCTCGACGCCGTATTTCTTGACGGGGAACGGCTTGGCCTGGAGCTTCTCGTGCTCGTACCAGTACACTTCCCACGCCTCGTTCAGATCCTCCCATCTGCACACGTCAGACACACAGACAAGACACACGGCCACACAGACACACGGCACTATGGTGCGAGTGTGTGAATGTGTGTGGCGCCATGCGTGCAGACAGACGTACGTGACGTTAGGGTTGCTGCTGTCGTAGTAGTCGTTGCGGAGGGTGATCTCCTTGGGATGCGGGTGGTGCACCGGATGCTTCCTGCACTCAACACAACACAACACCACACCACACCACACACGTCAGCCATTCCATTCCCCCCTCTCCTCTTTCCCTCCGTCCCTCAGTTCCCCCTCTCACACCTGTTGTATCGCCTGAATCTGTTGCCAATCCCCCAGTTGAAGACCCTCTGGTGGTGCGTGTCCATGTCCCCCCGAAACACCTCCCGCAGCGGCGGTGGGTCCCCCTCCCGCCGCTCCCGCTGGTCATAGTTGGGCCGCACGTCGGGCGGCGGCGGGTGGCGCAGGTACAGCCAGTGCTTCCCGCGGGGCATCTCGAACCCCTCGCGCATGTAGAACTCCCTGTCCCGCTCGGGCAGCCCATCTGTTCTGGTGAGGGCCTTCTGGTGCTCAGGGTCTTCCTCTTTCGCTGTGGGTGTGGGCGGGGAGTCGTTGAGGTATTTCTTGACGGCCTCTGCTGCCTCGTCTGTCCGGTCTCCGTCGTCGTAACCCCTCCTAACGATGCCGCGCGACAGCTTGTTGATGGCCTTCCTGGCTCTTGTGTGGACGCTGCGGCGCGGCACACACGGCCATGGCAAGGCTGCATTCGTGCTGCCGCTGGTGGGAGGGGAAGAGTGATGCGGCGCGGGTGCTGCACCACAGAGGACGGGGCAGAGGCGGGGTGTGAGGCAAGATGACAGCCGTGACGTAATGTGGCAGATCCGGCCCATTTTCTCCATTTGCCGTGAAGATTCAAGAGAAAAAGGGCCACTTGTCGGGCAGGGTATGAAACCCTGCACATTTGACTCCACGAGCTCGCCATTTCAGGATCTGCCCGTGTCTTTGTGCGTCTTTCTGCGTCATGATGCCGTCCACGCTGACCTCCGTCACCGCCCTCTCCTTGCTGCTGTGCGTTGCATCTTCATCTCCATCGCTTCCTCTGCGTCGCACCAGTGTGGCTGCCTTTGCACCGCCACATGCACCAACACCAACAGCAGCATCAGGCTCAGCCCAAGGAGCCCTCTTCGGCAACTCATCATCACGCAGCCTGAGCAGGGACAGTGGTGTGGCTCGACGGGCAGCCGCGACGCTCACCACTGAGGCCGACAGGGATGTCGAGACGCTGGAGGAGAAGAAGCAGATGGCGGGGCTGGAGAGGTGGGACCCACAGGTACGTGTGTGTGGCCACCTGCAAGTGGTGTGTGCAGCACCCACTGGCTGAGCGTCGGGTGTCTGTCTGCCTGCCTGTCTGTCTGTCTGTGTGCAGGTGTGGGTGGCGCCAGCGGTGCACAACAGGAACAGCGTGCGGCTGCTGGCCTTGCTGTCCACCCTCCTGCTGGCCTCGGGCTCCACCGTCTTCGTCTCCAAGCAGCTGACGCTCTTCGTCCACTTGCTGGCCTATGCCACCTGGCTTGGCAGCGTCATCTACACCACTTTCGTTGCGGTATGCACACACACACAAAGAGAGAGAGAGGGAGAGAGAGGGAGGGAGAGAGGGAGGGAGGGAAGGGGGAAAGGAGGGAATTGGCCAGTGTACGCCCCTGTCTCCCTCTTGTGGTGTGATGGTTTTGGTGTTTGCCAGGGAATCACCATGTTTCGCAACCTGCCGCGCAAGACGTTCGGGCGGCTGCAGTCGAAGCTCTTCCCGCTCTACTTCCAGCTCTGCACCGGGATGCTGATCGTGCTGCTGACCACAGGCGGGGCGAGCGTCCTGCCCAATCGGGCCATGATGGCCAACCTCGCTGTGGCTCTCGTCATGACGCTCGCCAATCTTTTCGTCCTCGAGCCGAAATCCACTGAGATAATGTTCAAGCGGTAGACGCAGGCAGACAGGCTTGATGGTGTGTTGTCCTCTCTCTCTCTCTGTGTGTGTGTGTGTGTGTGTGTAGGTATGAGATGGAGGACCAAGGCAGGAAGGACGACCCGGAGTATAAGGCGCTCGCCAAGGGTTTCGGCAAGTTCCACGGGCTCTCTTCGCTGACCAACCTGATCGCCTTGTGCGGCGGGGTGGCCCACGGGTGGACTCTCGCCTCTCTCATCGGAGCATAGCACAGCACCGAAGGAGCGAGAGAGTGGTGGCCGAGCCAGAGGGTTTTCTCGGTCTGTGTAGCTGTAGCGTTGTGTATCACTGTCTTGGGAGTATCTCTCTATAGGGCCTGGCCTGCTGCCGATGGGCGGCATACGCCCTGTTTCTTGTGTGTGCGAGGGAGATCGGGTGCTGGCTGAGTGGAAAGGAAGGAGTGGGCTAAGCCTGCTGATAGATGAACAGACAGACAGACAGAGAGACGGACGGACGGACGGACGGGAGGAGGGAGTGCTGCTTGAGAGAGTCAGTCAGTGGACGGCCGCCGCACAGCCCCATTCCACGGTGGTGGCGCACGGGCGCAATGGATGCAACCACCGTCCAATTGCAGTCGTGTGTCACATGCACGGAATGCCGCTGTGGGATGGCTGTCCGAGACACAGAAGAGAGGGCAGATTGGTGTTGCTGTGTGCAGAGTACGAAGCAAATCTCTGAGCCGTTGACGATATTGGACAAATCATCCATGCATGCTGTCCATCCCGCAATGAATGACGCGCAGCAGCATTGGATCGTAACGGACTGCAACGGATCGCGAGGCGCGAGCTGAGACAGGAAAGAAGCACGGAACCTGCAATGTCGGCCGCTGACGTGTCGGCGGCTGTGGCGGCATGGCCAGGCCCCCTGGAAGAAAACCCCTTCGAGGCCGCAAATCTCCGCCGATGGGCCCGCTCGGCACGCCAGGAGCTGCTCAAAAACCGTTCCAGCACCCCACTGCAAAGGGCACTGGCCACCAAGAGAAGACACCATGCCTCCCGCGTGAGCATGATGCACAGGAAATTCAATGAAACCACAAAGCGAAGTCAACGGCATGTGATTTCTATCAGATGACCACACCGTCCGATGCTGTCGTTCCTGACGACAAGCAGCAGCCCCTGGGGCAACCGTCCCGCCCCTCTCCCACCCCGGCAAGCCCCAGGACGCCCCGCAATGCGATTCATCAGCCAGCCGGACAGAAGCTCACCATCCAGTATCTCGGCGAGTTCCGTGGTGCGATGGGGGTACTCGCGCAGACGCTTGCCCTCACCCATCGCAACACACACGCCCCTCCCACGCCGTTGCCTCAGCACCAGCGCCCCACGACCGCCCCTCAGCCTTCTCATCAGCTCGGTCTGCCGCTGTCGCCGAGGAGTGTGCGGTTCCACGCGTCTACGGAGTCGTCGAGGGATGCATCGCCTATGGACTCGGTGTTGGGGTCACCCAAAGGCATGGGAGAGCCGAGAGAGAAGGAGGGTGGGGAGGGGGAGGGGGAGGGGCTGATGTCGGCGAAGGAGGTGCACAGCTTGTGTGTCCACGTTGTGAACCAATCGATGGGCAGGTACGGTACCTGAGGACGCGGAGCTTCTCTCTGTGTTCGTTCCATCATGAATGTTGGTCTTTCCCTGTTCTGCATCTGATCTGCCCCCCCC